AAAAAAATAGCCGAATATTGCGTTTGTGATCACCTCTGTTAGCATAAAATTCCTACCGACAGCAAACGTCTGTGTGATAGAGTAGCTTTACACGAGATCAGATGGTCATTTATGATATGGATCGGCATATTTAAATTTACATCGTGTAACTACAAGCCAGATAAGATATGCTATGAATAAACGAGAAGAGTTTGCAGACAAGACAGACAGTGAGTTTCTGATGTGTTTGTGATTGGTTCTGACAGCTGTAAACAGTCTGAGAAAATGCCCCGGGAACCATTTTTGTGTGTGTGTTGTGTTGTTGACTGTCTTCAAGTCATGTTATTTGTTCAGAACCACGTTGTGTGTGTATGTGTAGGATCAATCGCGAGCTCAAGCGGAGTTATTGAGGAGACAGGAGGAGCTGGAGAGATATGCCTATGTAGTATATATATATATATATATATATATATATATATACATATATATATATGAGCAATATCACACTTGTAGCAGTGCGACATGGCTGTATATCGGCGGCACTGGTGGGAGGCGTGCGCTAGTGCCCCCACCAGTGCCGATATACAGCCATATCGCACTGCTACGGGTGTGATATTGCGTTTATACAACAGTTTGTCGGCATAATTGTGTATATAAAAACAAAATTAAACATGGAGAGTCTCAAAAACCCTTTTGTATGAGGAACTACTTTCTTCCGCGTTGAACTCAAATCATAAGCTGACAGTTAAACAGCTGAGCAAGCATCTTTTAAACTGTAGATCTGTAGTGTCTGCTTTTTGCTGACTCTTATGTGGGCGGAGTCATACACAAAGGGTAAAGAGGCTGTACGGGTGCTGATATTACTCAAATATATCACGGCTATCAGCCAATCAGATTCGAGAACCAGACAGAAATGTTGTATCTGTATATATATATATATATAATAATATAATAATATAATAATTGTATACTGATATTAATAATAATTGTATTTATTTAGAATAAATATAAATAAATTTTTATATTTATTGAAAAATAAATCTAACAATTTAAGGGGGCTGCAGGGTGTATCGGGTGGTTCGCCCAGGGTGTCATTTAAACTAAAACCGCCACTGCCCTCCCCAATCGTGGTTGACGGCACGCACACACCTTCAATAGACAGCAATGGCAATTACGAGAATAGTTTCTCTGCGCATGCGTCAGTTTGCTTTCACCAGCGTCGTTTCTCGTTTTCGGTTGCTCATTGAGAATGTGTGCAAAAGATGCCAACTGTGAACGGCCCTTAACCTCTTTATTCTGGGATTGCCACTAAGTTAATACACTTGCATAAAGTAAAACGTATCCCAATGTTTGTTTGTTTTTTGCACCGTCTCCGCGTGTCGTCCCTCAGCAAGATGTCGCCCTAAGCGTTCGTCCATATTGCCCATGCCTAAATCCGCCACTGGGGGAGGGGGAGATGCAGTGGATCAGCTACGTCAGTGGCACCAATCAATCCACAATAATTTAGTGGCTGCATTTTATTTTTTTGATTACTGAAATATTGGGAAATTACATAAGCACATTTAAATTAATAATAATATCAACAGCAAAATCATATTGGGGTGGCCAGAGTTTACCCAGAGGTGGCTGTGGCGTGTGTACTTGTTTTTCCCCTGGTGGGGACTTAAAACTTCATGAGTACTTGTGTCACTTGAGCCCAAAATTGAGGTAAACATGCTCATAAATAACACAGAATGAAATATTTGACAGAATATGCGGTTTATATAGTAGAAACATCATTACGTCTATGAGAGTCCTCTCTGGGATATAGAAACATGTGTGCATCTGTGTGTCTGTACCTGTATCTGCTGCAGGAGTCTGTCTATGATGGACAGCAGGATGTCCCAGGTCACCACCTGCAGCTCGCGGCCGTATTTTTTAATGAGGCGCGTGATGGAGAGCACGATCTCATAGGACACCACCTCATTAGCACAGCTCATGGCCTGCACACACAGCTCACGGTTAAACGTTGTACTGTTTACCATACATCAATACTCAAACTCACACACACACACAAACCTTGTAGAAGGAAGGCAGGACCAGCGTAGGTGTGTTTTTGAGGGCGGGGAGTCTGTGAGCGCCCCACAGCGCCATCCCAACAAAAAACACAGCACCGCGGAGGAGAGCGGCGTCCTCGGAGTACACCCTACACACAAACACACACTAGTGAGAACACTAGAGAGTAAATATGACAGCTGGCTACATTTCAGAACTCTCCTATCTAACATCAGCACTAAAAACAGCTTTACTTGCTTAAATTTCCTTCAGCTAAAAGGTTATAGGCAGCACGGTGGCACAATGGGTAGCACAATTGCCTCACAGCAAGAAGGTTGCTGGTTCGAGCCCCGGT